ATATATATAAATAATCGCTGATACGGGTTGATTCATCGACAGAAACGTTAACCAGAAAAATATGTATATATATACAAAATAACATATGTATGCGTTAACATACAGACACATAGTGACGCTTGTGCCAGTTGATATCATACGCACGAACGAACCCAGATAGAAATAAATACATACACCAAAAGGCATACAGATATACATGATAACACATATAAACGTATTGAATCGCTTGGTTGTCATGAAATACACACAATCGCATTTAAATCAAAGTTCAGCTACTGGGCGTGGGTGTGGGCGTGGTATATATATGGTCGTATGAAGGTACACATCTCTTCTGGCGTCTTTTTCAACCATACTCGCGAAAGGTTATTTATAGATATCGACCGGGACAGGAACCAAGAGTACGCCCCAAAACGTTGTGGCTCATAAACACTCAGCAGAAAAAGCACATCTGGCTCTCGTCTTTATATGGTACCTGCAATAGTCACCTGCGTTGCTATGGCAACATGTCTTTATACTAACCACCAAGGGTAGCACGTGAACATGTACGATGAAACACACACACACGCGTATACTGTATAAGGTGCTTGCAATAGTCGCCTGCGTTGTTATGGCAACATGTCTGTATATCAGCCACCAAGTGAAATACGTGCATATGTACGATGTTACACACACACACAACACACATGCGTACACTCGATATAACTCGTGCGGTAACCTGTGTGTACATATGATTCCAAAACACGCACATCATATCGCATTGCATAGAAGATATATATTTGGATGGGCTCAAGTAGCTTACACGCGCAGCATGCCTAAACATTTGTTGCCAAATAGCACGCATGTTCATCTGACATCAAAATACTCGGAATGTACTACATTACAATATTTTAAAAAGTAGGATATAGATGTACATAACACAATAGTTTACAATACCTTATAAGTAAGATATAGATATAGATACACACAATACATTGGTTTACAATACCTTATAAGTAACATATAGATACTCACATGGGAATCGGTGTCTCAATATACCTCCATGAAACACATGTCGTACGGAGCTTTGGCCCTGACGTGTTGTGATGATTAGCCCCGTTATTACCTCAAAGCTATCTGCTGCACGTACACCCCCCCCCTCGAAAGTGCTGCCATCGAATAGCATCAGTTAATATAAACCCAATACATTGCATCACAATCAATGTACACACAATACATTGTACCCCAATGCACAAGAACCTCGCACCTACACGTAACTTAAGGTTACTCACAGCACGCACTTCCTAAATGTACCTCTTTCGGCAGTCCTGCCTCTATGGCCGCTTGGCGTACGGGGTTTTGACCCTGGCCCGCAGTTATAACTTCAGAGACGTCTGCTGTATCTACCGAGCACCTCTGAAGGGCTTCTCTTATCACAGCTGCGCCTAATGTCTTGGCCGGAACTGTATTATACGCCCCCTGGAACGATCCCACTGGTGTGCGACGTGCTGACACGATGACGACGTCTGATGGAGACATGCTTATGGTTGTGTAGCTATATGTTTAGGGAATAAACCTCGGGAGATGAAAGACACTCGTACATTGGTATATCGCATGTTTATATGTACCATACACTCTATAGTAGAGTATTGTACTGCATATACTAATACATGCAGACGTAAATGGGTAAGAAGAAACAAACAAAGTGAAGACTGAAGAGCAGGATTATTCATACGTCACTATGACGGTTCAAATCTAAGGCAAAGTATATTTTGCCACAGATATTTTTTTTGCCACAGATAGAACGTCATCACTTTTTAGAGCACATGCATGTCTCGCAGAATCGACTATCGAGATTTTCTGTCGAGACTTCAATGAGCAATCCTTCTATTGCTAATAATACTAATACAGAGTGCCTACCATCTGCAAATAACACGACACGCACGTATTACCAGCACTTAGAGTTTGCTTGTTATACGTCTGCGTGTGTTTAGGCAGTGTCTGTAGTATAGTACAGCTGTATTACAACCTCTCCGATAAATCGACACCACCACCACCAGTTCATTAGCTATTTCAGGCTATTACGCAATACGTGCTACGCGTCAGAGGAGACTTGTTTACACAATTTATCAGACATGGAGACGTATGAGGTGCGTGTGTCGTTGAACGGTCTTAAGATGAAAGTACTTTACTTTTGATCAAAGTATGGGATGCAGCACGAGTGAATTTAGTACTGTTTCCTCAGTGGTTGCAAAGAAGAACTGCGTACACACTGCTACTATGTACATTGCTACTGAGTGTTTACTAGTGTGTTTTAGTGATATATATATATATGCACACACACACACATATATATATATACA